CCCCATCCTTTCCACCGTTCTCTTCCAGGTCTGCTGAGCTCTCTCTGTGCTGACATTACCATTCACTGCCACTGGATTGTCTCTTGTCTATAGGTCCGAGTGCGTCTAAAGGGTGGGGCCCGTCCTGGAGAGGGCCGGGTGGAAGTCCTGAAAGCTGGCACATGGGGCACAGTCTGTGACCGCAAGTGGGACCTACAGGCAGCCAGCGTGGTGTGTCGGGAGCTGGGCTTCGGGACTGCTCGAGAGGCTCTGAGTGGTGCCCGCATGGGGCAGGGTGAGAGGGATGAAGGTGGGAGGAATGGGAAAGGAAGAGGTACACATTCCTGGGGGGGGGGTACAATCCTTGGGAAGGAGACCCCTGGACAATGAAGGCCCAATTACACCCTCCTGATCTTTGGCCTTTGACCCTAGGCATGGGTGCCATCCACTTGAGTGAAGTTCGATGCTCTGGACAGGAACCCTCCCTCTGGAAGTGCCCCCACAAGAACATCACAGCTGAGGACTGTTCCCATGGCCAGGATGCTGCAGTCCGATGCAACCTGCCCTACACCGGGGTAGAGACCAGGGTCAGTCGTATTTTCCACCTTGGCTCAGGTATCTTGCTCTCCCCTATCCAGTCCCGGTCATGCTCTGAAGCGTGACAGCCCCCGACCACTGCCCTAGGCCCCTGCAGTCCTGCAGCTCCATCTGACACCGTCATTGCTCACCCTTTATGTGCCTCTGAATCACCCTTCAGCCACATTCCAGCTATAGACTCCCACTACCCCACCCCTAAAGCTTCCCCGGCTCTTCCATTCTTTTACTACAGATCCGACTCAGTGGGGGCCGCAGTCGACATGAAGGGCGAGTTGAGGTGCAAATAGGAGGACCTGGATCTCTTCGCTGGGGCCTCATCTGTGGGGACGACTGGGGGACACTGGAGGCCATGGTGGTCTGTAGGCAACTCGGACTAGGCTATGCCAACCATGGCCTGCAGGTGAGTGGGAAAGAGAGAGGAACCAAGGCTACTGCATCCAAAGCCTGTGTTTGGGGCAGAGGACTGTGGAGATGAGTCCTTTGGCCCAGGAGGCTGGATGGTGGGGCCTCACAGAAACACCTATATATGTCCCCAGGAGACCTGGTACTGGGACTCAGGGAATATAACAGAGGTGGTGATGAGTGGAGTGCAATGCACAGGGACCGAGCTGTCCCTGGACCAATGTGCTCATCACGGCACCCACATCACCTGCAAGAGGACAGAAACCCGGTTCACTGCTGGAGTCATCTGTTCTGAGAGTGAGTGGAGAGCCAGCGAGGAAGGGGGGTTCTGGGCCACCCCTTTCAGAGAAAGAGAGAGCTGTAATCTGGAGGGGTACTCCATCCCTGTGAAAAACCAGCCTCACATACTCTGTGGAGGTGAGAGAAGCACCCCATCTGTCCCCGCCCTTCAGCAGTGACTTCTAACACTCCCCTTCCTTCCTGGGTACAGCTGCATCAGACCTGCTGCTGCACTCAGCACTGGTTCAGGAGACCGCCTACATTGAGGACCGGCCCCTACACATGCTGTACTGTGCTGCTGAAGAGAACTGCCTGTCCCACTCGGCCCGCTCAGCCAACTGGCCTTATGGCCACCGCCGTCTACTCCGATTCTCCTCCCAGATTCATAACCTGGGACGAGCTGACTTCAGGCCCAAGGCTGGGCGCCACTCCTGGGTGTGGCACGAGTGTCATGGGTGAGAGAGGGTCAAGTAGAAGGGCAAGACCACTGGGGGTAGGGTGAGCCTGCTGGGGGCAGGGAAGGAAACGGGGTTCCCTTGTCTCATCCCCACAGGCATTACCACAGTATGGACATCTTCACTCACTACGATATCCTGACCCCCAATGGCACCAAGGTGGCTGAAGGCCACAAAGCTAGTTTCTGCTTAGAAGACACTGAGTGTCAGGAGGGTGAGTTGGGGCCTAGAATGGACTACAATATCTCCACCCCACAGCCTTGCCTCACACTGATATATGCTATGCCAATCCCTTCAGATGTCTCCAAGAGGTATGAGTGTGCCAACTTTGGAGAGCAGGGCATCACTGTGGGTTGCTGGGATCTCTACCGACATGACATTGACTGTCAGTGGATTGACATCACAGATGTGAAGCCAGGAAACTACATTCTGCAGGTGCCTGGGCTCTGAGATTTCCAGCTGGTAAGTGGGAGGAGTGTGTATTCAAGATACCTTTGAATTGTATTGCCTTTCTCCCACATACAGGTGGTCATCAACCCCAATTTTGAAGTAGCAGAGAGTGACTTCACCAACAACGCAATGAAATGCAACTGCAAATATGATGGACATCGCATCTGGGTGCACAACTGCCACATTGGTATTTGGTGGGGAAAGCAGCCTGGGAAGACTAGGGGATAGGAGGGAAAGCCCTTCATTCTCTTCTACCCAAGTTGTTTCTATCTTCCCACCGACCTCTGGATCTCCCAGCCTCACCACTTCCACCCACCCTTTCCCACAATAGGTCTGTTTTCCTGCCCAAACCACCCATTCACCTTGCAGGTGATGCCTTCAGTGAAGAGGCCAATAAGAGGTTCGAGCGCTACCCTGGCCAGACCAGCAACCAGATCATCTAAGATGCCAATACCCACCTCTTCAAACCACCACTGGCCCCTAATAGCAGGGGGTCTGAGGCTGCCATTACCTCAGGAGCTTACCAAGGAACCCCTGATGTCAGCAGGCCCACCGCCCTCATCCAATGTGCACTACGGATGTGGAACTGTCAAAGAGAAGTTATCACTCTCCTTCCTAGGCCAGCTGTCTGGATCTGTGGCCAAGCATGGGGAATCCTGGACCCCAGTCCCAGCACTGATCTGAGCTTGCCACAAAGAGCAGCAACTGATTAACTGGCTAGAACAACAGACAGCAGCAGCTCGCTTTCTTGAATAAGGAGGTCAGGATGGTCAGCTCCAGTATAACCCCTCAGTTCAGGGGGAATATAGCTTTACCTCTAGCCTTTTTATGGGGGAAAAGATCAGCGTCCCTCCCCCTATTTTTGACTATAACATGTTGCTAGGTATAATTTTATTTTATATAAAAAATGTTTTTGTGATTCCTCAGAGCCTAGGGATTGGTGCTGGTGGTTGGAGGGACCTGCCCCCCATGGGTTCATTTAATCCTCTGTCCAGATGCCCTCAGAGCCTAGGCCAGGAAAGCAAGGTAGAAATCAGAGCAGGAGCCTCATACTCTTGCTGATCCATTCATTCTGTGACTTCAGGGGTAACATATAAGGTCAGTGTTTCCGGTCCCCGCCGGATCCGCACTGCCAGCTGGGATTGGGTTCGAACAGCTTCATAAATATCTTCAGCATTTTGTACCAACTGCTCCCCAATGGCCAAGATCACATCACCTGGCCGCAGACCAGCCCTATGGCAAAAGATGGACAGAGAGAAAGGAAGGAGTAGATAGCCCGGTTCAAGGACACATGCACCTCACCCATCCCCACCTCACAGTGCAGTCTCTCCTCACCGGTGTGCAGGGGAGTCCAGGATGACTTTATGGATGAGCACACCATGCTGAACATCAGGAAAGCTTGGTTCTCGAAGCTGTAGTTCAGCAAGGATACTGAAAGGACACACACCACCCTGTTAACCACACACCAAGGTGCTCTCCCCATTCTGGGTTCACCTTAAATCTCTCAACACACTGACAACTATAAGGACAGGGAATGCACTAGGTACTCCAGATACAAAGGCAATTTACTTTCTCCCTTCTAGTAGTTAGGAAGTGGGACATATATAGAACAGGTACCTAATTCCACATAACACATAACGTTAAATCAATAGCACTGATCTTATCCTAGAATCCTAAGAGAAGCTTTAAGGAGGAAGCAGAATTTAAATTGAGCCTAGAAGGATGGACCTGATATTCAAGTATATAAAACAAGAACAACATAAATAAAAACCTAGAGTAGGAAACCAGGTTGGCTGGAATAGAATATATTCATGTAGGAAGCCAGGTCTGGAAAATGGAAAATGGCCCCTAAAAACCAAGTTAACAGATTGTAAATCAAAGCAGTAATAGGATGAAATCAGTCTGGTGGCAGCTGTGCAAAATGGAGTGGGGTGAGAAAGTCAAGAGGATGAGAGAGGACAGCTCTTCTGATATCACCAGGTGTGAGGGAGTTCACCATAGAAAAGACAGAATTGAGAATAAAGCTCACCAGAAATGCCATTTGCCCACCAATGGGTAAACTGGTGGTCCTACACATCACTACCCCTAAAGCTCATACCTGGGAGTCAAGGTCAACATCATCACCCCAATGTAGCGGCGCTGGGACCCACTGATTCCAAACCAGGAATCTGTGATAAAAAGACAAATAAGCCCCACCTAGCTACATCTTTCCTTCCCCTCTCTCTCATCCCAACAGACCCTTCTCCAACAAGGCCCAATGAATGTCCCTCCCTCCACTTAAAGGGACCCCTTCTCCCCCCTAAGCCAGGCTCACTCTTCTTTTCCCCACGATGCAGAAACTCTCGAAGGCGATCAGAAGGGATGGCAAAGGAGATTCCAGCTGTGACCTTCATGGTATTCACTCCGATCACCTCCCCATCCTGCAGGGACAGAGCCCACTATTCCCTAGCCCAAACAAATAGTGGGAGATGGGGGTACCTGGACAAGAATAGCAGGGAGTGTTGGGGAATTGGAGAGATCTTGTTGCATTCTGAAAGATACCTAACGAGATTGTTCAGAAACTTGACCAAACCGCACTGATTTAGGGAAAAACCCACTCCTTCCCACACTGACCTGGGACAGGAATTCTTGGAAAGAAGGATGTCCCACTCACCAGATTAACCAGAGGACCTCCAGAATTTCCAAACTGCAGGACAAGGAGAAAATATGGAAGAGATCCAGGGACTCTATGCCTGGGGGGCACACCAGGATATAGGCATTTTCTCCAAATTCTCTCCTTTCCCAGCCCATAAATGAGGGGCCACATTTTTGTAGCTCAACTTTGATATACAGAGATGGGCAAAAGTAGCTTTACAGTTGTAATACAAATAAGTAACACAATAAAAAGTAAATAATAATAATACAAGAATAAACTATGTTTCGTGTATTCACAACAGGAAACCTACTTTTGCCCACCCCTTTATAGGCTTATCCACCATCTATCACACTTGGTGCCTGCACCACACAGCCTCTCCCCTTCCCCCAACCTAGATTGCCATTCCTCCCATATCAGTGCTTACGTCAATAGCTGCATCTGTCTGAATGTATTCCACATTGGTTTGGGGGAGGCCTAGGTCTCTGGCTGGACGCTGAGCAGAGCTGACGATGCCGGATGTGATCGTGTTCTGCAGTGCAAAGGGACTTCCCATGGCAACAACAAACTCCCCTTGCCTGACATCAGCTGAGCGTCCCAGGGGCAGTGTGGGGAGAGGTTCCTAAAGGAGAATGGGTACAAGGAACTTGTCATCTGGGGATGCCAGCAAATTCACAGCCCCCACCGACCCAGCTTGCCCGGACCCCCACCTTGGTCTGAATCCTCAGCGTGGCGATGTCTGCCACGGGATCCACAGCTGTGACCATGGCTTCATACGTGTCACCGCTAGGCAGCCTCACACGGACTCGGCGCCGATCAGCCACCACATGGGCGTTGGTAACGATGAGCCCGTCCGAAGCCACCACGAATCCTGAGCCATTCGAGATAGGGACTTCGCGGCCCGAAAAAGGGTGCCTGGAACGGGGGAAAGCACGGGTGTGAGAAGGTCGGACTCCTCCTACTCGCCCGACCTCTAGCCTGCGACTTCGGTGCCTCCGGTCTACCCCACCGTTACCGGCCCAGGATCTCGATATAAACCACCGCAGGTGCAGTCTTCTCCACCACGTCTGCGATAAAGTTGTACTGGCTCCGGGGAGAGGTGGGCGGCGAGCCAAGGACAGAGGCAAAGACGGCCGGGGGACCCCGACCCCCGCCGCACAACAGCAGCAGCACTGCTCCCCCTGCGCCCAGTGCCACCGCCAGCCACGCGCGCGGACGGGCTCCAGGGGTCCCTGAGTCCTCCCGGGTCTGAGGATCTGGGGTGCCTGCAGTCAGTCGTGCTCGGAAATCGGAAGTCCCGGACGTCAGACATGTTCTTGGTCCAGGGACCCCCGCAGAGAAGCCAGCCCGGAGACTGGGGGTCCCATAAGTCACTCGGGCCCGAGGGTCGGGAGTTCCTGACGTCAACAGGGCCCGGAGGTCAGGGGTCAACAGGGGTGCCTTCGCCCAGCGAACCCCCCCCAAAGCCCGCCATCCCCGAAGGCTCCAGCCTGCACCCCGCCCCGCCCTCAGCGCAGCCATCAGCTCCGCCTAGGCTGCCTCCTCGCCCGCCCTAACAGAGAGGCGGCGCCCTGGAGGTGAGCGGCGACCGCGGGGCGCGGGGCACGCCGGTACCTGAAGTCCTCCAGGAGAGCACGCCGGGACCGGGCTTCAGGGAGGCCGACTCCGCCCCCGCCCCGCGAATGCCGGGAATTGTGGTCTCTGCGGGGCAGGAGATCTGAGGCAGCCTGAGGGCCCGCGAGGCATGCTGGGGCTGCTAGCCCTTCCGGGGCGCCTCAGGATTTCGGGTCCTGGCACCCTGGGCCTACGCCCCGAGACTCCGCCTTCCCAGGAGCCCCTGCGGCAGGTCGCGAAGATGGCGGCTGCGGCGGCGGCTGGAAACCCCTAAAATAGCCGCGATGGAGCCTCCCCAGGCGCCGGGGCCGGAGCGACTCTTTGACTCGCACCGGTAAGAGCTCCGGCGGGGAGAGGCCGGCTCCCGCATTCACTCGGCCTTCGGCACCCGATCATTCCACCTCTCGCCCCCAGGCTCCCGGGTGACGGCTTCCTGCTCCTCGCGCTGCTGCTCTACGCGCCCGTCGGGTTCTGCCTCCTCGTCCTGCGCCTCTTTCTTGGGATCCACGTCTTCCTAGTCAGCTGCGCGCTGCCGGACAGCGTCCTTCGCAGGTTCCGACCCGGGCGCTCGGGGAGGGTCAGGGCTGGGCTCGGCCGAGGCGGTGCAGCCACTACTGCCTGCGTCCCCAGGTTCGTGGTGCGGACCATGTGTGCAGTGCTGGGGCTGGTGGCCCGGCAGGAGGACTCCGGACTCCGGGATCACCGCGTCAGGGTCCTCATTTCCAACCATGTGACACCTTTCGATCACAACATCGTCAACCTGCTCACCAGTTGTAGCACAGTGAGTGGGGGACGGAGCCGAGAGCACGACGGGCAGGTCCCTGGGGCCCAGCTCAGGGTTCCCTTCTGCCCGCCCGGTTTTCCCTTGGAGACCGCGAGATACTGACCCCGTGTCTGAGCCCTATATGTCAGTTTTATCATTTCCTCACATTCTTTTCTTCTTGCTTTCCCTCTTCCCTGTTACCAGCCTCTACTCAATAGTCCCCCCAGTTTTGTGTGCTGGTCTCGGGGCTTCATGGAGATGGATGGGCGAGGGGAGTTGGTGGAGTCACTCAAGAGATTCTGTGCTTCCACAAGGCTTCCTCCAACCCCTCTGCTGCTGTTCCCCGAGGAAGAGGCCACCAATGGCCGGGAAGGGCTCCTGCGCTTCAGGTGGGTGCACACAGGTATTGGTCTCTCAATGCCTAGGTAGTCAGGCTTGGGAGCCCTTAGGTTTTCACAACCTTTTTCAGCCCTAACCCCCCGTTCTTAGATCATTCCCTTTACGTCTACTTTTGGTCCTTTTCCCTGAATCCCTTTATTCTCCATTTATCTCCTTGGGCAGTTTGACAGTTTCCTGTTTTAAGTCAGGTATGAGCTGCTGACTGGGCTGGCTGGAGTCCCATTCTACTCTTTCTTCCTTCTAGTTCCTGGCCATTTTCTATCCAGGATGTGGTACAGCCTCTTACCCTTCGAGTCCAGAGGCCCCTAGTCTCTGTGGTGAGTGTATGTTGGACAGGGAATCTTTGGGGCGTGGGGGAAAGTTTCCCACTCCTGGCCCTGACTTAGATCTCTCTTCATGCCTTCCTCTCAGACAGTGTCAGATGCCTCCTGGGTCTCAGAACTGCTGTGGTCACTTTTCGTCCCTTTCACGGTGTATCAAGTAAGGTATTAACTGTCCTCACTTTTTGGTGGCTGGGAAAAGCTCACCTCAAGGTCAAGAAAGTAGTTGCTTCTGCCCTGTCCGTTTGCAGATCTTTTAATATCACAGAGTCAATACAAATTATTTACTCTCTCCCCACCCTCACCATCACTGTCTCATGAAAAGGGGTATCAAAGTAGGAAAATGGTGACAGTCTCTACCCCTTGTGCCCTCAAAATGGCCCTGGATTGTTTTTTGCAGGTGGCTGCGTCCTGTTCATCGCCAACTGGGGGAAGGGAATGAGGAGTTTGCCCTCCGCGTACAACAGGTGGTAGGGTACACAGGCAGGGTGGAGGTGGGGTCTTTCCTTAGGCAGAGGGGGAGGAAAGCTTGAGACCTTGACACTCCCAACCTTCCAATGTTCCCTAGCTGGTGGCCAAAGAATTGGGCCAGACAGGGACACGACTCACTCCAGCAGACAAAGCAGAGCACATGAAGCGACAAAGACACCCCAGATTGCGTCCCCAGTCAGGTGTGTAGTCTCTGTATACAAAACTTTTTGTTTTTTTCCAGCCTACTGTGATGTCCTCCCTATTCCTGTGCTAGTCAGCCTCTTCTTCCTCCTCACTCTCCACTCACCATATTTTGGATTTCTTTTTTGCAGCCCAGTCTTCTTTCCCTTCCTCCCCTGGCCCTGCTCCTGATGTGCAGCTGGCAACTCTGGCTCAGAGAGTCAAGGAGGTTTTACCCCATGTGCCACTGGGCGTCATCCAGAGAGACCTGGGTATGGGAAAGGGTAGCCTCACACAGGAAGAAAGGCACAGAAAGGAAAAGTGGGTGGTGAAGGGAAAAGGGGAGCAGGGAAACAGATCCCTTCTCTTCTCTTCCCTTCTCCCCAGCCAGAACTGGATGCGTAGACTTGACCATCACCAATCTACTTGAGGGAGCTGTAGCTTTCATACCTGAAGACATCACTGAGGGGACCCAGTCCCTTCCCACAACCTCTGCCCCCAAGGTGAGACCCAGGAAATGGTCAGATCCAAGAATTGGGGTGGGATGGGGCAGTCTACATACTCCCTATCCCTGATGTCTCTTTTTTGATCCTGAGACCCTAGCACAGTGCCTCTCTTGCAAAGTAGGCATTCGATGCGGGTTTAATGATGATGACTTCGCAAGCCCTCTGACATTGTGATCACCTCAGTTCCCCAGCTCTGGCCCGGTGACCCCTCAGCCCACAGCCCTCACATTTGCCAAGTCCTCCTGGGCCCGGCAAGAAAGCCTACAGGAGCGCAAGCAGGCACTGTATGAATATGCAAGAAGGTGAGGGGCTTAGAGAATAACGGGTAGGAAGGGGCAGATTGAAGAAGAGAGCTAATTATGGTGTTAATATGGCAAAGCCCACACAATGTCTTCTCCCTATGTCCCACAGGAGATTCACAGAGAGACAGGCCCAGGAGGCTGACTGAGCACAGGATGGCACCCAGAGCCGCAGGACGGAGACTGGGGGCAGCCCTCACCCAACTCACAACAGGCCGGATGGGTGGGTGGTAGAAAGGGAAAGATGGGGCTCCCCCCAATATCACATTAAATTCAGGGTTTTCACTCAAGGTCTCTGTTGCTTCTCTGGGTCTGAAAAGCCCCCTGAGCAAGTTCCTTTTCCCTCTAGAGGAATGGGGATGAGGTCCTCCTTCTAGGTTTAGGGAGGGGTGGTCAGAATGGAACTGTCTGAAATCATTTCCTCATGTCAAGAGATGAATGATATTAAGGAAGTGTAACTGAACTGAAGATCCAACAGCAACTGTACATAGCCAGGTGAAGAAACAGCTACAAAACTACAAGTCCCAGGATGCCTTTCACAGTACACAGTGTCCTAGAGTTCATACTGCTGGTGTGTGGCTGGAGCCTGTTTTCCATAGGCTCCTGACTAGGTTAAATAAGGCGGAGCAAATGGCTCCACCCCCGAAGCAGTCTTTAGGATTGTGTTTGAGCCAAGCCCCAGGGTGGAACCGGAACTCACCTAACTTACCTTTGTACTTAATGCTGGCCAAGGTTGGTGGTGACTGGCGGGTGGTTCTGGAATTGGCTGCCATCCTGACACGTCTCAGCTGCAAGCAGGTTTGAACCCAGGATCCTTGTGGCCCTGCTCCCCTCTATTCTTTACCCTTTTCTCTCCGGGTCCTTCCCACAGGCCTCATAGGATTCCTGCTGCCCCTGAGATCCCCTGTGCTAGTCACAGGACTTTTACTACCTGACTAAGGGTAATTACTTTCGATAGTCTCTTACTTGGAGACTCAGGGCTCCACTATTTCCTGGTAGGCAAGAAGCGCGGGGAAGGCCCTGGCCAGGTAACTTGGTTGGAGCACTGCCCCACACACCAGAAGGTTGCGGGTTCAATTCCCGGTCAGGGTACATATCTAGATTTCGAGTTCAATTCCCCAAATTGGGATGCATATGGGAGGCAACTGACCAATGTTTCTCTCACATAGATGTTTCTCTCTCCCTTCTCTAAAATCAATAAACATCCTTGGGTGAAGATTTAAAAAAAAAAAAAAAAAGCCCTGGCTGGTGTGGCTCAGTGGTAAGAGCATGGGCCCTCGAACCAAAGGGCCTCAGGTTTGATTCCTGGTCAAAGGTACGTACCTGGGTTGCAGGCTCAACAATCAATTGATGTGTCTTTCTCACATCAATGTTTCTCTCTCACTCTCTCTAAAAGTCAATGGAAAACATATCCTCAGGTGAAGGTTTAAAAAAAAATGCTGGGAAGGATGGACTCCAGTGCATTATCAGCTGAGCGTACAGGTTAGGGATCAGGGCTGAGGTGGGAAGATGGTATGAAGCCTTAATGACTGCCCTGCCTTCTATAGGTCCTACCAGTGAGCCATCATGGCCTCTCAGCTTTTTGGGCTGGCAGAAGATTCTGGCCTGAGCCCTGGGGAGTCTGAACTGGCTGTGAACCCCTTTGACGGGCTTCCCTTCTCTTCCCGCTACTACGAACTGCTTGAACAGCGCAGAGCCTTGCCCATCTGGGCTGCTCGCTTTATCTTCTTGGAGCAATTGGAGAGTAGCCCCAGTGGAGTGGTGCTTGTGTCAGGAGAGCCTGGCTCTGGCAAGAGCACCCAGGTGGGGGTGGATTCTGGAAATGGACAAGGGGAGGGGCCAGGGAACTGGTTCTTCCCTGGGCAGGGCGGATTGTACTGCCAGGGGTTACCCGGGAGGTAGACAAAGGGAGTCAGGCTGGCCCTAGGTTGGTGAAGGACCAAGGTATTCCCCCAAATAAGGAGCAATTAAACTGGCCATAGCTCCCCTAGCACTTCTAACTGAAATCCTGTGTCTTGCTGACTGGTTGTCCTTCCCTACCCCTGTCCCAGATCCCTCAGTGGTGTGCAGAGTTTGCGCTGGCTAGGGGGTTCCAGAAGGGCCGGGTAGTTGTCACTCAGCCCTACCCTCTGGCAGCCCTGAGCCTGGCCCTGCGGGTTGCTGATGAGATGGACCTGACCCTGGGTCATGAGGTTGGATACAGCATCCCCCAGGAGGACTGCACCGGGCCCCACACCCTGCTCAGGTGAGGCCTCCTGCAGGCCTGATTCAAATCTAATTGCCCTCGCCCAATAGGAACAAGCCCAGTCCTCTGACATTTCACCATAACCTCTCAGCCCAGCTCACCCTTTAACTCATGCATAATGAAATGCTGAATTAAACTCTTTAACCCCAGTCTGGACCTCAGACATTCATCCTCAGCCTTATCACAAAATTCTCACTTTCCCAGCTGGAGTACAGCTTCTGAACAAAGGGTCTCAGTAAGGTTGTGGGTCACTGTTAAGGGTCCACGGGCTCAGGAATTCAGTCATGGTCTTTTTCTGACCTTAATTATCAAAATCTAGGCTCCCT